GTGATTGCTCAGGCGGCAGAATATTCGTCTTCCAATGAGGTAAACCGGGTTCGAATTCCAGCTACGGCTGGTCTATACAAATTCCGCATCCGGCTTGCATCGACTATAGAGTTGAAGTAAAATATTCTCTGTGGTAGACGAATCATGGGTTAGAGTCCCTTTACCGTCAGGTTAACAGTTTGTGGTTTTCCTCTCCATGCAAGGCAAATGCGGCTTAATTCAATCAAAAAGTCCTCCACAAAGGCAATTTCATACAATACTTGAACCAGGAGTTCCCTGGTCTTCTGGATAGGGCTCAAAATTGCAAGGCTACGGAGATGGACTTCAGTAGTTTTAAACCCAAAAATTGTGTTAGCTGTTCCACGACGGTTATAAAATAAAATGAAGTTTGGTTGAGTCGCTCAGGCGCTCGTCTTCCGAAGTGATGACCTGATGGTTTGAATTCCAGTGATGGCTGAATGAAACGAATTCCACACCCGGCTCACACCGACCACAGTGCTGACATAAAATATCCTCAGTGGTAGACGGATCATGGGTTAGAGTCCCATTGCTGTCAGGCTAACCATTGGAAGTTTTCCTCTCCATGTAACGTAAATGCAGGTTGGTTATATCAAAAAGTTATCAACAATTCGAATGTTCGTGCTTAAGTTGGGCATATTTAAATCTGTGATTAACTGTGCGAGTTTTATGATCAAAGATGTCTTTTAAATAGCTGCAGTAAGCATCTCCATATTTCAAAAATGTTTTTTCTTTTTGAAAAAAAATTCTTAAAAAGCACTGAATTCTTTAGGTGCAATGGAAAAAAATTATAGTAATTTCTCTTAAATAGCTTCTATTATACCCCAAAAATTCAAAACAAGTTTTCGTCAAATGCAGAGATGCCAACTGTTCCGGACCCAACAAAACAATTTAAAAAATGGTAAATAACTTCTAACTAACTAAAATTCGCATTTATTTGGCTAAACTTGTTTATTTTTTTAAATGTTTAACATGTTTCAATTATAAGAAGTAGCAAATTATATAAGCTTTTGAATTATTTAGAAATACTGGTGGATTTAAATGTAATAAATAGAATTTATTAAACCATGAATCATACAGAAAAATTCTACCAGTCAAAAATATTTATCTGCTGTCCGGAGCAAGTTTGCATCTCTGAAAATGGCATTATTATTATTATCATCATAAATCGAGTCAGGGCAATGGAATCTAACACAGTTTGTTGGGCCTAGAAAGTTTAAAATGCGAAAAAAAGTTTTTTTATTTTAAATACTTGAAAATCCTTCAAAATTGTATTTTTATCAATTCTACCCATCTATATAAAATTTAAGAGTTTGAAAGATTAAAATGTGGGTGTAAAAAGGAATAGTAAAAAATATATACATTAAAAAATAATTAAAACCAAATATTTAAAAAAAAACAATACAAATAAAATTACACTTAAATGAAGAGTTATGTGCAATAATAATAGTTACATGCAATAGACATTTTAATTATAAGATATAATTTAAAAAAAGAAAAACTTTTCAGATTAAAAAAGAAGTCAAAATAAAGGGTCATCTTCACTTTCTATTCGAAAATGAGAAATACAGTAAAGAACCCTACAGTAAAATCAAATCTTGAACAAACATCCCAAGAAATAGAAGAGGAAAGTGTTAAAGTTGTAAATAAATAAAAAAAAAAAATGAGTGGCATCCTTAACAGTTCCACTGATACTCAATCAGAACTGCTAATAAACATTAATTGGAATAAAATTTGATATCATTTTTCAAATCGATTCCCAGAAAGTGAACATTTTATGAAAAAAATGAAAATTCAAACGATGGAAGTCTTTACAATAACACCAAAAATAGTCTTGAGCTAACATCCCCCAATAAATAGAAGTGACGAGTATAATCGAATCAACAAGTGACATTTTTAATAGTTTCACAATTGAAACAGAAACATCCTACTTAATTCTTTTTTTTTCCCATTTATATTTCAAGATTGTTGCCAAAGTGAGACAGGTTGATGCAGAATTAAAAAAAAGGGAAATCCAAAGGGAATTTTGAGAAAGTAACATCTGGTTTGTGAAAACATTATTGGGTTTGGAGAGTGTAATATCAGATTTTTAGAAGGTTTAGAGAAAGAACACTAGATTTAGAGAAAGAAACAGGTTTTGAATAAGTAACATCAGGTTTGGTGGACCAAAACATTCAGTTTGGAGAAAGTAGTAGCAGGTTTTGAGAAAGTAATATCAAGTTCGGTGGAAGAAACATTAGGTTTGGAGAAAGTAACATCAGGTTTGAGTAAGAAACATCAGTTTAGGAACATCCAGAGCTATATAAATCGAGGACATTATGAAAGATCACGAAGAAGTCGCTGAAGTGAAGAGAAAGACAAGGCGAGATACTTAAAGATGAAAATTTGTTCTGCACACTCTTATAAACTATCAAGAAAAAAAATCATAGCATGAAAAAACTTCAAAATTTTTTTAAGAATAACGGTTTTTTGTGATAAAATTTGTTAATGGTCTCTGTAAAAAGAAATAAGAAAAGGATTTTTATAAAAGACGAAAAACATTTTAGCCGAGATCAGATAATTCCATATGATTATTTATGTAAGATGTGATTTCATGTTAATTCATTAATTTAATTTTTGTGACATAAATAAACTAATTAAAAATTTCCTGGTGAATAAGTTCAATTAAATATTGTTTCAGTCATTGAATTACGCACTATATTAAAATTTTCTTACAGGAATAAAACTGTTCAGTTGAACCTGCTACTTGATATACGTTGAGCTTGAGCTTAGTGCAGAATTTCACTAACTGCAGTGCATTCGTTAATTACATGTCACACATCAGTTAGTTCTGATTGTAAAATAATCTACTGTTCTTTTTTTTGGTTTTATTAACATCATTTTATTTCTTTTTCTAAATCATTGTTTCACAATAATTTTACAGATCGAGGTCATTGGATAAAAACGATGTAAATGAAATTCATTTAAATAGTAGTAAGTAAATATTTTTCTCCCACTACCATGTTTCTGGTCGTTTCCTTGGATTTTTTTTTTATGTAATAAATTTCCAGTGATTATCAGTTCTTTCAACTGTATGACCAACATAGAGCTATTTACTTTCTAGAAAACAAATTCAAATCTTGATTTAGAAATTCATTAATTTTTTTTGAATTCTTTGAAAATAGTGTATTAAAGATAAGGAATTTTTTTAAAAAAAGTTTTTCTGCGAATTTTGCAAATTTAAAAAAAATGGCAGTAACTGTATGTTAATTCTAATAAGAATATTCTTTTTTAAGACATCACTTCGAAGTTGTTTCGCGAAGCTTGGCAGTCACATGAAATGGTGCTTTTTAGCAAATAATATGCTAGTTACAACTGCCGTGCGTTTGTAAAATTGTTCTCCACGATTAAATTACGTTTTGTTGATTCTAACCTCTATGTTAATTATAAAAATGGTGCATAATGTCAATATAAAGAAAAGCCACAGTTCGGTTAAAATATAAAAAACATTATTGATCTAGTGTAATCTTTAATAAGTTACTCCACTACTACTGTGAGAAAATCTAGCCAAATTGGCAATTTTTAAGAATATTTGCCAATTTTTAAAATTCTTTGATTGCTTTAAAACTTATTATACTTCTTGCGGTAATATGGTATATAGTTTAAAATTATAGCTTAAGCTAATTAGCATCGAGTTCATGGTACTTAAATCATGGCTATTTTATTTTCCTAGGTGAAGGAGCTTTGGAAAACACCCTTATTGTTTGAAGATCTGACAGCTTAGCGAGCTGTAAAAAGGTATTCGCATAAAGGTAAAAGTATTCGCATAAAGACATATTTCCTTTAAAAAATAACATGAAGTTGCAGTCCCAAATGCGAACCATAACTTTTCACAATGACGTCCTTGAGGTGTATCAAGGTGCCCTTGTAAATATTACAAACGCTATACAATTACAGCAGCAGCTGGAATTTTTTTTTAATTGGCTAAAGAGGTAGTCTAGTAATATTTTAATAAATTATAAATAATAATAATTAAAGAATCAGAAAACAACAAATAAACATTGTAAATGTATGTATAAAAGGTCGATAAAAAATAAGCTGCATTCTTAAATGATAGTTTCCACTCTTTTATCAAAGCACGGTTCCTACTCTTTCATCAAAGCAAAAAATAAGAATTTTTATCGAAAAAATGTAAGACTTTTTTTTGAAAAAGTAAAGACCTTAAAAAAGCATATTTCAGCTTTATAATTTTTTTTCTTTAAGAATATAATATAATTTTATTTTTTTTTCCTTTTGAAATTTGAAAGTTTGCTTAAAATATAAGTTGAATGAAAATTATTTGAACAATACGCCTTTAAAAGGTATATCTTTTTTAAGGGGATGCTATCCCACAGGTGAAAGTTTTCATGGCAAACTCTGTTCCACCTTCATTGGTATTTTAAAATTGTAAGTAAAGTGAAAAGTGCATTTAGGTAAAGCTAAGTATTCCATGAAGAGTGAAATGCTGGAAAATATTTTCAAAATATCAAAATGAAAACAAACTATTTCAGGATTACTTCTCCACTACATAATCCAAAGTTATCCTGCCATAATTTGCTCGTATTTTAATATTTTTAAATTTTTTTTTCAGCAATTGAAACTTTATGATTTACCTTAGGATTACTTGAAATCACTTTTCTCTAAATCTAAAATTTCAAACATAGATAGAGAATTTGCCACGAAGGGTTTCTCTCACAGTGTAGAATACTCTTGAGGTAATTAAGAAAAGTTTTGTGATGTAGTTTCTCAAGATAAATGAAAATGAAATTTGCATTTGAAACTTAACTAAGCATGTTTCTTTGAAGTAAGTTGTACCTTATCTATCATCAATTAGAAATTGTATTCAAACCAATTTAATTTACCCGTAGTAATGCATTTATCTTAGTAAAATTTCAAAACAATCAAAACTTTCCCCAAACCTCATAATTTAATGTATGAAAGATCTTAGATAAAGAAAGTGACAATTGATGAATTAAGTACAATTTAATTATACAAGGCTCAACATGAACATGTTTTGAAACTATAATAGATCAACTAGTAAATTTTTGCTTTGGTATTTTTTGAAACAAGCAGAAATAAAAATAGTTTGTTTAAAAATAGTATCACAGTATTGGAATTACAGTCAGAAATATGACAATTGTGTAACATAACGACAAATGGTAGAGGAAATATCGTGTTTGGGGCATCAGTTGGCAGAAATAGTGAGAGTTGAAGTGAAGTTAATTTAAAATATCTACTACAGCTTTGGTCACAAATAAAGAGCTTTTACTCTGTCCCTGATTCCAAAAAATATGTCATGACAAGCTTCCTTTAAAACTGCAGCAATATATTCCTCATTTGTAGTCTCAAATCCATCTTCCTCTATGAAAACAAACAGATAAAGGTAAATAAGTTATGAATTTCAAAATATCATATGGGATAGAAAAAATATGACCAACTTCTAATTTAAATACATGATATTCTTAATCTTATTTACAAATTTCCTAGTTTGAGAGGACCACCTAACATAACAAATGAAATATTGGCTTACATAAAGTGAAATAAAAGAGTACAGTGCAATTACATTAATCCAGAATTAGGTCTAATCAATAAAATATATGCTAGAATTTATACAGAAGATTACAGACATTCAGAGTCTGCTGCTATGACACAAGTTAAATTAATGATTATAAAAGCAATTCCAGCTTTTTAATGTAACTAACAGATAAAAAAAAAAGTGTATGAAGCACAAATAAAAGTTCAGAAATGGACATGATAGAGTTTTGATTTTATAAACAAAAGCTTTTCGCAGTGTCTAAACACTGAATGGTGGTAGAGAAGCAAAGAGACAAAAAAAAAGCAAAGCAGTTAAAAAAATTAGACAGAGGATCAAATTTGAACAAGATAATGAAAGAAGGGAGATTAAGAAATATGTGTGAGAGGGTTTGGGGAGAACTAAAGGGTGCAAAAGATTAAATTAGAATATATTTCCAAAATTTATACCACAGATATTAAATTCTGGTTTGAATTAGCAATTAGTTAATATTCACTTTGTTTCAAATTTCTAAGTGATCGAACAACAAGTGTTCTAAATTTATTTATTTTAACGAATTCAGGAGCCAAATCCCGCTAAATAAGAAGGTAAATAAAATTTGATGAAGACAGCTTCTATAATTTATCTAATGCTCATGACTTTCAGAAATAGAACATTACTTTTCTAGTTTCAACCATATTCTCACTGTTTAGTTGAATTCATAACAATTGAATTTTCTTATAATAAAATATTGTAAAACATTGATTTTTTAAAGAAAAACATTTATATCAGTCTGCTTATTAGGAAAGTTTCAGTTCAAGTAATCAGTTTGTTAGCTATAGGGTTAACATTCAGTCTGCAAGAAACATATTTTTTGAAGGACACTAAAAGAAACTGGAAAAAAGCTGGACAAAATGGAAGAAACCAAAAATTACCAACATGATTGTTTAACAATGATGATTATAGAAATAGCTTCAATTACAGAGAAAGTTACACGTTTTTTACAATTTTACGTAAATAATGCAGTGTGTGCTTTAATATATTTTGTTTTACTTATTACCAAATATTTCACAATATCACTCGTATTTTTTAGTTTTATTTTGATAATCAAGCAATTTAGTTAAAACTAATTCAATCTCTGTCTAATATAGGGAAAAAGAAACAGACTTACCTTTAACAATAATATGACCAGCTAATTCACAGACAGCAGCATTAAAAGTATAATCATTTTTTGAGCCTACGAAAGAAATAACATGATAGTGCAATTGAAAAAATAAAGTCACTCTAAAACAAAATATTTAATCAATAAAACTACTGTGTCTTGAATAAAGGGCAATCAGATACAAGTGCTTGAAGTACAAACAATTTTCTGCCTAACATGAAAGAAACCAAATTAGAAACTAAAATAATATAATTTTAAAAAAATAAATCCCAACTATGCTTTACTATCTTCATTACGAATCGCACAACAAATATACTTTGTTTGGTACCTTTAAAAAACAGCCCCTAATTACCATATATCAGAAGTACTAATTACCAAAATTAATTAGTATCAATAATATATGGCAATTTGATAACAATTCCTCTTAATTAGTATCTTTTCTCGATTAATTTTGTTTTTTAGTATGTAATTTAATTTTTTTTTATTTCAATAAGTGTTAATTTTAAACTATTTAGCTCCATAAATACGTTTTAAATACTATTAACAAAGGAAACATGTGTTTTCAGATAACTTCAAAAATACAGTTTTAGTGGTCATAGCACCTATCCACAAACCATTATTCACATTAATGATTAGCTTGTAAAAGATGATTGCGTATAAAAGGACATGCAATAAATTCTTAAACAAATTCATTTACAATGTATAACAATGGCTAATGCTAAACTAATGTAAGAAAATGATTTTTTAAACATCTCTCCCAAATTGACTCATTAAAATTTTTAAACGATTTTTAAGGGTTAAGGGGAATTTTAGGATTGTTCTGTGCAGTTAATGTCCAAATTTCAGAACCCTAGCATCAATGATTCTAGAGTTATACTATGTACAAAATAGCGTTTGATGATAAGAACAGACAAAAATATTGAGTAAAAATAAAATAAAAGTTGAAAAAAAGAGCCATATTTATGTTGCTTGGAAAAAGTCTGTAACCAAACCAAAATAAATAAAATAACTATAAATTAGATTTTACCATAAATAGCTGTTCGGGCCCATACAAAAATTCTGACAACACTGCAAACATTTTCATCAGTAAAACTCTTTCCTCTAGTGAAAAAAAGGTTATGTGGAATTTCCTCTTTTATTAAAAAATCAATCAGCTTCATAACGGATCTGAAAAAAGGATATAAAATATAATTAAAAAGCGACGAGAAATTTTACAATAGTATATAATGAATGCATAATTTTTGTTTGTTGAAAACCAAAAGAACAATGCATTCATCTTATAACAAAAATTCGAAAAAAAATGATCAAGAATTAAAAGATCTAAAAAAAGGGGTTACAAAAGGGTTATTGTACTAATTAAAGTTTCAAGCAAAAATTAAAATCTCAGCATGAGAGATAAAGGTGTTGGAAAGCCCAATGAATAATGCTAAAATATGTTCAATATCATTTATATATCAAAGACAAATTTATATCACATGCCAATGCACAGTTTCTCTCAAAGATTTCGGATGCTATGGTAATTTTGCCAACACCAACAATTCTCACAATGAAATCGTCAGCGGAGTCCACAAGCATTTTGTACACTTAAAGATTTCATGCGCCCACGAAGAAAAAACTCCAGTGAGCAAGGATGCCAACCACAAGTTTGATACGATGTAACTTTTCCTTGTATTTTAAAGGGAATGTAACCCTAAAATTCAAGGTCATTGCTAGTCTGAATGGGTACTATCATCCCTTTCATTGTGAAAAAACAATTTAGATTCACCATGCATATATGAGGGTTAAAATAGTGTGATTTAGTTTCAACTTAAATGAAAGAAGATATGGTAAGTATAGATAAAATCTACATTAATGCAAGAAGGTGAAATAATTTCATTGCATTATGAATGCAGAAATTGAAATAATACATTGTCATTTGTCAACTCGAGTAGTCTTCACATTTTAAAGAAAAACTCCACTCATTGCAAAAAAGCTAGCAGCACTATATCTAACAATATATAAAAATCAATCGAAGGTGTCACAGCAACCAATGAAAAGTGCTAAAAATGTGCAGCTGGTATTGTAATAACCAATAAGAATTGTTGAAAACTTATGAAGTATGAAGCACTCACGTTGTGTACTTCAACAACAATACTTCACCATACTTCAACTAGCTGAATACATACTTCAACTAGCTGAACAATGCTTCATACTTCTAGAATCATACGTAACAGCAAATCTGAAACATTAACCACATTTGCTTTTAATATAACAATTTGAATGGCATATATTAATGTCTTTGATACATTTCATAATAGATTAATAGAGCGAAGCATCAGTGCATTAGATATTAGGCATATGTTACCAGATGAAGCCCTCTACAGGAAATGCATGAAGCTTCCATGGTTTGTGAAGCTAACTATAAGAATTACATAGGTTGCCTGGGGGTTAGGTAGCATAGAGATCATGGAGTGTAGCCTGCTAGTGTATAATAATTACAACTGATGTTTCAGACTGGTTCAGTCCTAAAGAAGCATTTAAATAACTTACTTCATAGTTTCTACCACTTCAGATGCATCTTGTACCTGGAATGTAAAACCTTCTGCAGGATATTGGACAAGTTCATAGCAGTTTCCAATTAAATGGTTTACAGGCTGAAAAAAATATATACTTTGATTGAAGATATACAAGTAAAGGGGATTTCTTAATGAAAAGTGATTATTTGCATTGTGCAGTGTCAGAAATGCAGTCGTGATAACAGTACCACTATTCAGAGTGTTGAAGGAAAGTAAGAAGAAAGCAGAAGACTGAGTGTAACTGATTAGCTAAATTACATGAGAACACTTAAAGTGAATGTAAAGTTGCTGTAAGATGGATGTGTTCAGAAGAAAACAAAATGAAGAAATATGATTTTTAATGGCAGAAACTCATCTCACTATTTCTTTACCTAGACAAAGTGTTGCACAGATGTCATGACTTGTAACTCCTCAAATAGCTCTCACCATTTCCTTATTTGCAGAACAGATTCATGGCAGATCCTAGCGTTTGCTTCGACCCTGCGCTTTGGTTGATCCAATGTTGGTGCTTGACTCTCCCCCCCCCCCATTTTTTTTTGTTGAACAATTTGTTTACAGTTGTTTGCGCTGCTAATGTCTGCCATTTGACAATGAATACTTGGATTATGCTTATCTTCTACCACTAAAATTTTTCTATTGTAATTTGTTTTGTTCCACATGCATGCATCTTAATACAATTTTATATTCACTTTAATTGCTCTCATGTTAACTTGTTAATAAATTATTTGGTGCTGTGATTGTTTCTGAATGTCTGACACTGTTACACGCACCCACTTTTCCTTTAATGAAGTCCTTACATTTTCAAATTCTTAAAAATACCATTCAAATAAAAAATAAATATGAACACTGGCTATGAAAATTGACTATGAACATTGAATATGACATTTGCTATGATCCTTTACTAGCTTATTCAACAAAGTATAAAAGATTTATTTTAGTTTGAAACAAAATCCAAAGAAAAAATTGATTAATCACATCTGCAAACATAAAATCATTTTAGTTAAAACAGTATCGATGATTGTGCATCAAATAATTAAAACTTGGTGGTGTTCATAATGTCAGTGGTCACAGTTTATAATTAAAATATGGTAATAAAAGTTGTCAGTATTTTTTCACAAAATTAGAATAATAATTGAACAATAGCACAGAGTGAAGCATAACCATACTACATTATACTTTATTAACTACAATAACACAATTAATCATAAGTTATGCATAAAATTAATTTTAAATTTTAATAGTCTGCAGCAGGTTAAAAAATTAAAGGTAATAAAAAAGAAAGTAAAACAGGGATATAATTTCAAACAATCACATCTGGCTTTGAAGTTGCAGTGTGTGGTTAAAAATGTTGTCGGAAGACTTAAAAACAATTCGTTGATTCAGTTATGACTAACATTTAATAAACTAATTATGTTTAATAATTTCAAAAGTTCAATGATCTAAGTTAAATAAAGGCTCTTAATTAGCTCAAATTACCAATTATTTGTAATTCTGAAAATATATAATGTAATATTGATACATATTAAAAATATTAATCGATCATATTAAATTCAAAAGGATAAGTACTAAGTGTAAACAAGTCTTTACTTACGGCATTTTCAAGATAAAGATTATATCTTAAATAATATAGGTGAAAGTGAAGATGGTTGACAGATGCATACGCTCCTAAACTGTTAAAACCAACTCTTAAGTACCTGAAATCAAAGGCATCATTACAAAAATATCAAGAAATCATAAAAAGAAATCAAATTAACATAAGAAATAAACCATCAGTACCTGTCATTACTAATTAATAAAGATTCCACTGCAAGTCTCAAGCTATTTATATTAAGCACCTAAAGTAAAAATTCTCTATGCAGAAAACAGACATAATACATTAAAAACATGCAATTCATACTGCTGCTCTTATGATAATAGAACTTATATTGTCTCAAGTTTTGATTTTTTAAAATTGAAAAGAAAATTATCGAATACGTACGATAAAAATTTTTATGTCATTTAGTTTACACAAAAATTAAAGCAAAAAACTCAGATTATGTTTAAAAATTGTGAATTTTTCATCGATACAAAAATGTACAGTATAAGGTTTTGCATCTAATTGCATATGGGGTAAATGGTTGCCAAAATATGAATGAATTTTGTTAACACAAAACTCAATTTTTACTTTCAAAGTTTGAGTGATTATGCATATTTTGGCATAAACCTCAGACTCAATTCAAAGCATCAAATTTAAAAGCAAGCATAACATCTCTAAAGATGTAAAATATACGAATACACATTTAAAAAACCTATCAGAGAGTTTAAGAATTTTTATATTGCCTCTCAAGAAAATATAATACAAAGTATTACTTTATAATTAAAGATAAAAAAAAGTTGATAAAGATTATTACATAAGATTATTATTACAAAGATTATTACATAATCTCTACAAGAGAAAGAGCTTCAAATTTTTTCTTCACATTAGACAAAATTATACATTCATATTTTACATTGATATTTGTAACATTTTTGATATAATCGATTTGCTGAAACTGAAAGTTAGAATGTAACCATAACTCATTTTTTTTAATGAGGTCCTCATTCTTTTGTCTTTAATAGCCTGTTAATATTTCTTTATTACTTGATTTTTTACTCTATTTAACTTGATTTTCTTCAAAAGATGGCTCAACTCTTAACAACTAAATAAAGTTTAAATAAAATTAAACAATGAGTTAACAATTTTCTACTTTTTCTCTTATAATCTCTGCACATTAGACCTAATTGGTTAAAACTAGTTCAATTAAAGTGCTAAAAAAAAAAAAAAGAAGATTAACACACATAGGAAATAGGGCGGGTAAGACTTTGACAATTGACTGTTTCTTCCGAATTCAACCATGGTTTTAATCGTCATGTCGAAAAACCCTTTTTGACATAATTTTTTTAAATTGTCAACCCAAAATTTTGTTGAAAAAAATAAGTATTAGTTATTATATATATGAAGAAAATATAGATAAAAGAATATATAAAACTACAAGTAATCAATCTACAGCAGAGTTTTGAAAATTCGAGGTGGACAGGGACTGAGCCAATTTCGAACTTTCAAAAACTCTAATTATAGAAAACTTAGAAACTCGAACTTTCAAGAACTCCAATTATAGAAAACTTAGAAACTCGAACAAATGAGACTCGAACTATCCAGACTCTACTATATTGTGTTCCATTGGCACTAAACTACCTTTTTGTTTTGAATTACTGCTAAAAATCTAAAATTTTGGTGCAAAAGTAAATCCATTATAAATATTATTTGCCTTGCATAATTAAAGTAAAACTATTATAACATACAAAAATTAACATGCATTGGAAATATTATTTTAACAGTACTAAATATTGAAAATAATTTTATAAAACACTTGAATTCATTGGTTGAAAAAATTAATGATTTTATTTTAAACAAACATTTATATATAAATTTTTGTAAATTATAAACAATTTACTTAGCAGGGTATATATTTTAAACATAATTTGTAAATAATGTTAATCCAATAAGCATTATAATAATAGCATTAACTATAAATTATGAGAATCAGTAAGGAATTTCACAAATTGAGATCTGACTAGTATTGGCAACTTAAGTTTGACTTAAGCTAAAAACTCAGCCAAAATTATTACATAAAAGAATTAAAATGAATATTCCGATTTATAACAATTAACAACTGACAGTTATTATCTGTAATATAAACTGAATAGTTATATAATTATATATAAAATAATAATGATTATAAAGTATAAATCATAACATGTTTCTTGAGGAAAAAAAACAAAACAGTTAACAGATTCAAAGATTTGGGTTATGTTTTTTTATATATGATATTGTATGAATCATGATTATAATAATAATTATAATGCAAATATTGTGCAAGATTTAAACAGCTAAGTAGCTTGACTTTTAATAAAATGCATCCAATGACAGGAAAGGAATTTGTCCCAGATTTTTTATAGTTATTGTCAAATTTTGGCAGTTTTTCACATTTTTCGACTTATTTTGTCAATAACCAGTTTACTGACATCTAAAACCCAACACTCGTGGGAACTAAGTAAACTTATTTTCTTTCATCCATTTTGTTTGCATTCGATACAACAGTCGAGCATCAATATTGGGCTGTATAGCCTCAGAATTCAGAAAAATAAGAATAAATTTTTTCTTCTTCTAAAATTCTAATGGCAGATTACAAAGACAACTAGACAAAACAATGAGAAGACAACTAGACAAAACAATGAGAAGACAACTAGACAAAACAATGAAAAGGCAACTAGAGAAACAGGAATGAGTTCCTTAAATGCACATATTATTAATAAGCATATTTAAATTTGAATTATTTGAATTAATTAATAAGCATATTTATATTTAATTATTAATAAGCATATTTAAACTGAAAAAAAGAAAAAAAATACCAGTGAAGAAAATCATGAATTAGCAGAAATTCTAAACTATGTTGTTAAAAATTTATTTGCCTACATGACAAGTTTTTATCAATTTAGTTAGCAAAGAACCGCTGTAACAAGAACTAAGTGTTGAAAAACTAATGCTAAAGAATTGACTGCAATGAGATTTGCATCGCTTCTTATCATACAACACGAAAAATTTTAGAACCTCTAAAAAGGTTGATGTGTAAGACAAAGAAAAATAGTATAATGTGAGTTTTTTTTTTTTTTTTTTTTTTTTTTTTTTTTTTTTTTTATATTTTTTTGCCTGNAAGAGCCATATTTATGTTGCTTGGAAAAAGTCTGTAACCAAACCAAAATAAATAAAATAACTATAAATTAGATTTTACCATAAATAGCTGTTCGGGCCCATACAAAAATTCTGACAACACTGCAAACATTTTCATCAGTAAAACTCTTTCCTCTAGTGAAAAAAAGGTTATGTGGAATTTCCTCTTTTATTAAAAAATCAATCAGCTTCATAACGGATCTGAAAAAAGGATATAAAATATAATTAAAAAGCGACGAGAAATTTTACAATAGTATATAATGAATGCATAATTTTTTGCTTGTTGAAAACCAAAAGAACTATGCATTCATCTTATAACGAAAATTAGAATTTTTTTTTTTATCAAGAATTAAAAGATCTAAAAAAGGGGGTTACAAAAGGGTTATTGTACTAATTAAAGATTCAAGTAAAAATTAAAATTTCAGCATGACAGATAAAAGTGTTGGAAACCCAATGAATAATGCTAAAATATGTTCAATTTAATTTATATATTAAAGACAAATTTATATCAAATGCCAATGCACAGTTCCTCTCAAAGATTCTGGATTTTACGGTAATTTTGCCAACACCAACAATTCTCACAATGAGCTCTTCAGCAGAGTCTACAAGCATTTTGTACACTAAAGATTTCATGAGCCCATGAAGATTAAACTCCAGTGAGCAATGATGCCAACCACAAGTTTGACACAATGTAACTTTTCCTAGTCTTTCAAAGGGAATGCAACCCTAAAATTCAAGGTCATTGCTAATATAGATGGGTACTATCACCCCTTTCACTATGAAAAAACAATTTAGATTCACCATGTATATATGAAGGTTAAAATAGTATGATTTAGTTTTAACTTAAATGAAAGAAGATATGGTAAGTATAGAAAAAATCTACATTAATGCTAGACAGTGAAATAATTTCATTGCATTATGAATGCAGAAATTGAAATAATACATTGCCATTTGTCACCTCGAGTAGTCTTCACATTTTAAAGAAAAACTCCACTCATTGCAAAAAAGTTAGCAGCACTATATCTAACAATGTATAAAAATCAATCGAAGGTGTCACAGCAACCAATGAAAAGTGCTAAAAATCTGTAGTAGGTATTGTAATAACTAATAAGAATTGTAGAAAACTTCAGAAGTATGAAGCACTCACGTTATGTGCTTCATACTTCAACAACAATGAATACTTCATCATACTTCAACTAGTTGAACAATGCTTCATACTTCAAAAATAATACGTAACAGCAAATCAGAAACATTAACTATATTTGCGTTTAATGTAACAACTTGAATGGCATATATTAATGTCTTTGATAAATTTGGTAATAGATTAACAGAGCGAAGCATCAGTGCGTAAGATATTAGGCATATGTTACCAGATGGTGAAGCCCTCTACAGGAAATGCATGAAACTTCCATGGTTTGTGAAGCTAACTAAAAGAATTGCATAGGTTGCCTGGGGGTTAGGTAGCATAGTGAGCATGTAGCCTCCTAGTGTATAATAATTACAACTGATGTTTCAAGTTGGTGATCATTTAGTCCTAAAGAAGCATTTAAATAACTTACTTCATAGCTTCTACCACTTCAGATGCATCTTGTACCTGGAAAGCAAAACCTTCTGCAGGATATTGGACAAGTTCATAGCAGTTTCCAATCAAATGGTTTACAGGCTGAAAAGAAAGTATATACTTTGATTGATGATATACAAGTAAAGGGGGTTTCCTTAATGGAAAGTGATTACTTGTATTGCGCAGTGTCAAAAAAGCAGTCATGATAACAGTAACACCATTCAGAGTGTTAAAGGAAAGTTAGAAGAAAGTAAAAGACTGAGTGTAACTGATAAACCAAATTACACGAGAACACTTAAAGTGAATATAAAGTTGTTCTAAGGTGGATGTGTTCAGAACAAAACAAAATGAAGAAGCATGATTCTTAGTGGCAGAAACTCATTTCACTATTTCTTTACCTAGACAAAGTGCTGCACAGATGTCATGACTTGTAACTCATCAAATAGATCTCATCATCTCATCATTTGCAATGACAGATTCATAGCAGATCCTAGCATTTGCTTTGACCCTGTGTTTTGGTAGATTCAATGTTGTTGTTTGACCCCCAAAAATTTTTTTGGAACAATCAATTCACAGTTGCTTGACGATGAATTCTTGGATTATGCTTATCTTCTTCTCCTAAAACTTTTCTATTACAGTTTGTTATGTTCTACACATCTGCATCTTAGTAAGATTTTATATCCACTTTAAAGGCTCTCATGCTAACTTGTTAACAAATTATTTAGTTCTACGATTGTTTCTGAATGTCTGACACTATTTCATACATCCACTTTTCATTTAGTGAAGCCATTATGTTTTCAAATTCTTAAAAATACCATTAAAATAAAAAGTAAATATGAACGTTGGTTATGAAAATTGACTATGAACATTGAATATGACATTTGCTATGATCCTTTACTATAAAAAAAAAAACAATAAGAAACTATTACATTTACTCTGCCTATGAGCAATATTTTTAGAACTACCTATCTAATATTTAACTATTAGGAAATAATGGTTTAAGGAGTTTATAACCACCAAAAAATTCTGGTATAGCTTATTCAACAAAATATAAAAGATTTGTTTTATTAAAAAACAAAAACCAAAGAAAAAATTGATTAATCACATCTGTAAACAAGGAATATTTTTAGTTAAAACATTATGAATGATTGTGCACCAAATAATTAAAACTTGGTGGTTTTCATAATGTCTGTGGTCACAGTTTATAATTAAAATAGTTATTTATGGTAAGAAAAGTAGACAGCTATTATTTTCACAAAGTTAGAAATAAGAAAAACACTCAAATTTCAGGACAGAGTGAAGCATAAACACACTATATTATACTTTATTAACTACAATAACACAATTAATCATAAGTTATGCATAAAAATAATTTTAAATTTTAATAGTCTGTAGTCTGTGGGAAATTAAAAAAATAACGATGATAAAAAAGAAAGTAAAACAGGGATATAATTTCAAACAATCACACCTGGCTTTGAAGTTGCTGTGTATGGTTAAAATTGTTGTCAGAAGACTTAAAAACATCAATATAGGTTATTCGTTGATTTAGTTATGAATAACAATTAATAAACCAATTATGTTTAATAATTTCGAAAGTTCAAAGATCTAAGTAAAATAAAGGCTTTAAATTAGTTCCAATTACCAATCATTTGAAATTCTGTAAATATATCACGTAATATGGATACATATTAAAAAGATGAATAGATCCTATTAATTTCAAAAGGAGAAATACTAAATGTAAACAAGCCTTTACTTACAGCATTTTCAAGATAAAGATTATATCTTAAATAATATAGGTGGAAGTGAAGATGGTTGACAGATGCATATGCTCCTAAACTGTTAAAACCAACTCTTAAATACCTAAAATTAAAGGCATCATTACAAAAACATCAAGAAAACCATAAAAATAAATCAAATTAACATAAGAAATAAACCATCAGTACCTGTCATTACTAATTAATAAAGATTCCACTGCAAGTCTCAAGCTATTTATATTAAGTACCTAAAGTAAAAATTCTCTATGCAGAAAACAGACATAATACATTAAAAACATGCAATTCCTACTGCTGCTCTTATGATAATAGAACTTATGTTATCTCTTTTTTTAATTATCGTTAATAGAAAATTATCGTATATGTGCTATTAAATTTACTTATGTCACTTAAAAAGTTATAGGAGTTCAGTTTACTTTTACTGAAGAATTGAAAAAGATTATAGGTTCGCAAATTTGGAAGACTCGAATTTAACGACTTGACAAACAGCAGACCAGTAAAAAAAAAACAGGTTTAAACAAAAATTTAAGCAAAAAACTCAAATTTTAATTAAAAATTGTGAATTTTTCATTGATACATAAAATATACAACACAAGGTTCTACATGCAATTGCATATTGGGTAAATGGTTGCCGAAATATGAATGAATTTTGTAAACACAAAACTAAATTTTTACCTTCAAAGTTTGAGTGATTATGCGTATTTTGGCATAAACTTCAGACTCTATTCAAAGCATTAAATTTAAAAGCAAGCATAACTTCACAAAAGATGTAAAATATACGAATAAACATTTAAAAAATTCATAAGAGAGTTTAAGAATTTTTATATTGTCTCTCAAGAAAATATAATACAAAGTTTAATTTATAATAAAAGATAAAAAAAAGTTGATAAAAAGATAGAAAAATTAATTCTACCATAAGATGAACAAGAAAGATAATAAGATCTCTTGCAAGTATGGCAATAAGTGACTGTCTTGATAGATAATTTTCATTTGTTTTAATCAAAAATTAATTTTTTTAGGTAAAGAAAATGTTTTTCCTGCTTATTAAAAAATAAACAAAATAAATTTTTTAACCTAATTTCTGAAATATATTTTAAATGAAACACAAAGACAATCAAAGATTATTACATAATCTCTACAAGAGAAAGAGCTTCAATTTTTTTAAAAATTTTTTTACATTAGACAAAATTAAACATTCACATCTTACTTATGTTTTTAAAATTTTTCATATAGTCGATATGCTAAAACTGAAACTTAGAATATTACTTTAACTCAATTTTTTTTATGAGGTCCTCATTCCTTTGTCTTTAATAGCCTGTTAATATTTCTTCATTACTTGATTTTTACTCTATTTAACTTGATTTTTTTCAAAAGATGGCTCAACCCTTAACAACAAAATAAAGTTAAAAAAATAAATTAAACAATGAGTTAACAATTTTCTACTCTTTCTCTTGTAATCTCTGAACATTAGACCTAATTGGTCAAAACTAGTTCAGTTACAGTGTCAAAAAAAAAAGAAAGACTAACACACATGGGAAATAAACAATTAGAAATTGACAAATAGAAATAGACAAATAGAAATTGAAAATTGACTGTTTTGTCCGGATTTACCCATAGTTTTAACTGTCATGTCAAAAAACCCTTTTTAACAGAATTTTCAAAAACTGTCACCCCAAAATTTTGGTGAAAAAAAAGGATTAGTTATTATATATATAAAGAAAATATAGATAAAAGAATATATAAAACTACAAGTAATCAATCTACAGCAGATTTTAGATAATTCGAGGTGGACAGGGACTGAGACAATTTCGAACTTTCAAAAACTCCAATTATAGAAAACTTAGAAACTCGAACTATCCAGACTCTACTGTATTGTGTTCTTTTGGCACTAAACTACCTTTTTGTTTTGAATTACTGCTAACAATAAAAAATTTTGGTGCAAAAGTCATAATCCATTATAAATATTATTTGCCTCACATAATTAAAATAAAACTATTATAACACACAAAAATTAACATGCATTAGAAATATTATTTTAATAACTGTACTAAATATTTAATATAATTTTATAACATACTTGAATTCATTGGTTGAAAAAAATTGATGAATTTATTTTAAACAAACATTTATATAGATATTTTTGTAAGTTATAAACAATTTACTTATCAGGGAATATATTTTAAACATAATTTGTAAATAATGTTAATCCAATAAGCATTATAATAATAGCATTAACTATAAATTATGAGAATCAACAAGGAATTTCACAAGTTGAGATCTGACTATTATTGGCAACTTAAGTTTTACTTAAGCTAAAAACTCCTCCAAAATTATTACATAAAAGAATTAAAATTAATATTCTGATTTATAACAATTAACAACTGACAGTTATTATCTGTAATATAAACTGAATAGTTATATAATTATATATCAAATAATAATGATCATAAAGTATAAATCATAACATGTTTCTTGAGGAAAAAACAAAACAGTTAATAGTTTCAATAATTTTGGTTATGTTTTTTATAAATGATATTGTATGAATCATGATTATAATAATAATTATAATGCAAATATTGTGCATGATTTAAACAGTTATGTAGCTTGACTGTTAATAAAATGTATCCAATGACAGAAATGAAACTTGTCACAGATTTTTTTACAGTTATTGTCAAATTTTGGCAGTTTTTCACACTTTTTGACACATTTTGTCAATAACCAGCTTATTGACATCTAAACCCCAACACTAGTGGGAACTAAGTAAACTTATTTTTTCCTCTATTTTGTTTGCATTCGATACAACAGTCAAGCATCAATATTGGGCTGTATAGCCTTAGAATTTGGAAAAATAAGAATAATTTTTTTTCCTACATTTCTAATGGCAGATTGCAAAGATAACTAGAGAAACAGGTATGAGTTCCTTAAATGCACATATTATTAATAAGCATATTTAAAGTTTTACTAAACTGAAAGAAAGAAAAAAAAATACCAGTGAAGAAAATCATGAATAAGCAGAAATTCTAAACCATGTTGTTAAAAATTTTATTTGCCTATATGGCAGGTTTTTATCAATTTAGTTAGCAAAGAACTACTGTAACAAGAATTAAATGTTTAAAAACTAATGCTAAAGAATTGACAGCAATGAGATTTGCTTCTCTCCTTATTATACAACAAGAAAAATTATAACACCTATAAAAAAGTTGGTGTGTAAGACAAGAAAAAGTAGTACAATATGAGTTTTTTTTATTTTTTTATTTTTTTTTTTTTAAATATGAATATTACTAACTTGAGGCAAACCATTTTCAAGGCCTGGAACTAATAAACAGTGACATTCCTCAATTGGACTAACATTTATAATAAAAGTTCCTTTATCTGTCTCCTGAAAATCAAACAAGTATTAGCTGAAGTTAAACAACATTCAACAACATAAAATAAAAGTTATTATTTTTAATCTTTGTTTTATAATTTGTTGTTGCTTATGAATATCAATAAAAACCATCATATAGAAATATTCCTATGTTTATCCCACCATAAATTAATTTTAATTTTATATAATATTTAATAAATCATGAAAAACATCAGAATAATTCTACAACTTTGAAAACATAATATGGTTTATAGAAAAAGTTATACATTTAAAAATAAATTAAGTACATTTTTACAAAGTTAAATCATATTTTAGGTAAAATTGTTATGATATTGTTATTGTGAAATTAATCTAAAATAATCAGATTATATTTTAATAGGAGATTTTTATTACATAAGTATCCAAATTTATTTCAACCTTAGACTATGAAGCTGTTTACATAAAAAAAAAATTGCGAGCTTAAAAATAATTATGAGGTAAAGGTAAATAATTAGTATGTTAAATAATTAGACTCTCACTCAATTTCAGAAATACTATTCCTTGACATGTCCAAAAATATCAACAAAAAAATATCACATTATATTTTTGCCCTACAAAACATTGTTTGATTACATATATACCATTCCTTATTTACAAAGCAAAAACTATTTTGGATAGAGATATGTTGAAGATTAAATTTTGAAACAGTATCTGTATGTTTTTTAAATAACAAAATATGAATATGCACTAGAACTGGAAATATTAAAAGACTCACAATACAATAGTTTATTAATAAAGTCACCTAAGTTAAATAGCCATATTATATCCAACTTGTGCTTAAAAAAGATAACTAATTAATACAAAATGCCTGATTTTTAAAAAAATATTATTATAGCCAGTAATTATTGAAGCACAAATTTGCAGTTCAACAAGCATATAAGAAATTGAATAATTAGAGAACTACATAAAGATAAAAAAAATTAATGAAAAATATTAAGGCTATAAAATCAGATAGATTGGAATATGATAATTTAAAAAAATAAGTAAATAAAAATGTGATACCTCTTTATTAAGTAGATTTTTTTCCCAATGCTTAGGTGTCAAAGTAAAAATGATCTATGTAGAGAAAAATAAAAATTAGAATCAGCTAAGAAAACAAATCTTATTATTCTGAGTAGTAAAAATATACCAACTTCCTTTTCTGACACTTTGCCAAAATGAAACAAGTTTGGATCAAATGGCATAACAATACTCGATATAAATTGAGGTTTACGTCGATCAACAGCTCTTTTGACATTTAACTAGAAAATTAAAAGGATTAAGCATTTTTAAAATAATAAAAAACAGGTAAAATGGAGAAATTAGTTTATTTAAACTCTACAAGCTCACATAAATTGATTAAAATTAGTTTAGTTTTCTGATAGACTTTTTTATGTCACCAAAAAACATCATTATTTAAAATTTTTTACTTGATTAAATAGAAATTAAATTTTGTTAAAAAAATCATTTTATCATACAGTTGACAATAAACAGTCCCTCTCATTCAAGAGAAAATGGACATTTTAATATGATGTCATAACATCATGAATGCATAAAAATAACTATAAATATTTACTTTAAACTGAGAGTTACATGACTAATTTTAAAAAACAATATTTCCCATTAAAAAGAATTAGAAAGCTGATTGATAAAAAATGTGATTGCCTTAAAAATATGTAAATAAAAATACCATTTGAAATAATGCATTTTAGGCAAAAGTAATACACTAAGGGCAACCATTTCTGATAAATAACACTGGTCCAGATAACTGTAAAAACCTTGTATTTTACTTTTAAAAATATACTCCTAAGGAAATTTCACAATTAACTCATTTAACCAATTTACAATTAACACATCACACAAAAAACGTGACTAAAATTTACAAAAGAGATAATAATAACATAATAGATAATAACATAATAGATAATAACATAATAGATAATAAGATAAACTTATTGTAAAATATGAAAAGAAGTTTAAAAAGATTGTGAATGCATCTTTTAAATCATTAAAAGAAACCACATGCCAGACAATATGCCATTTTGCACATGACATTGCAATATACTCAAAAGATTATGAAAGTAAAATAATCCGTGTTTCACCAATTTTTTTCACAATAAGTTATGGTCTCCTAGAATAAGAATCTTAGGGGTTGAGTCACCTTTTCTTTATTCAAAAGATAATGAAGGAGGATTATATTTACTGTAAGGTAACATAAAAAATAGAAAAAATAGTTACAAAAATAACTACTTTGTAACTGTTACAATCCTAAATGACTTTGAAAATGGAATAATTTTGTTTAGAAAGTTTGCAAATGTTTGACACTTATTTTTGAAATGATCTTGTTTTGAGGATAAAAAAATTAAATAAAATTTCAGTCATCATATTGGAACAAATGGTTTATTATACACATGAGAGTATTAAAGAGAGTATTAAAATAACATTGCTTTTATGGAATAGCAAATGACATTTCATGACATTTGCTGACATTTTATGGCATTGCATTTTATGACATTAAATGACATTTTCATCCTAAAGAGTATTAAAATAACATTGCTTTTATGGAATAGCAAATGACATTTTATGTATCGTTATAATAGGACCCGCCTATTATGGAAAAAGGATCTCTCTAAAAATTATAGATTATATTATTTTGAACAATTTTATGTCATTAAAATATTTATGGTAATTAATATTATTTAAAAGTAAAAATAATTTCTCATAAATTTTACCTGAGCAACAAAATTATAACTTCCTGGCAAGTACTTTGTTTTTAAGTCTCCTAATTTGTAGCGAAAACAATTAGTCTGCATTTTATTATCCCATAGGTTATGAAGCTTTCCATCGAACTGAAATAATAAGACAAAAACTATGCACATAAATCACAACTGTAGGATACATAAATGCTGTATATTAAAAAAAAAAAATAATTATACAGTAATATTCCAAGTTAAAATAAACTTTATATCATGAAATATTAAGAAGTAATGATTTTGTAGAAAAGTAAAGCTCACAGAAGAAAGTTCACCTTTCACAGAAAACTACCTTTAAAGTGCACCTCTATATTACAGTAAGCTTCAGAGAAGGAACACATATTTATGAATAATAATTTTATATTACATTGTTCTAAGGGATTCACAGAAGAGTTAAATTTTATTACCAATTCTATTTTAAAAAAACAATCACTCCCAGGGTCTCTTTTACAAAAAAAATTTTAAAAAAATTTTTTGTTTAAGAAAACAGACATTTTTGTTTAAAACATGGGCGTCATTGGTGGAAGGGATTGAAGGCATATTTTCTCCTCAAATAATTAGAAATTTCTTTAAGTCTCCCTAATACTATTTCAGGCAAATAAAGAAAATTTTCATGAATTATCAAGTTGAACTCATGAAAGGTACAATCAAGAAAGAGATTAATCTTTTTGTAGATGTTTAGCAGATTAAAAATTTTTTTTTTTAGAGAATTAAAATGACTGTGTATTTTAATTTTATGAATCATTTCTGAGATGCTCATGGTTTGAAATATTTTTTTTTCTCGTGGACCACTGCACAGAAGTTGAGAAGACTTTGCGATTATTCTGCCACAGTTTACGATACAGAAATCTCCCCAGTTTACTACCAAGGACATATGAAAAAATTATTACATTTACTGTAAAGTTTAAGATTCATACTAATCTTTGATTAAATTTTAAATTTAAGATACAACTAATGAAAATACATAAATAAAACAAAAAAATTGCTGCAAAATTTTTGAATTTTTACATTACAAAAATACAAACAGATTCTAGTATTTGCGAAGTTTTAACCATGCTGAGAACATTTCCATATTTGTAATTGCAGCAAAAAAGATCACCAAATTTTGTTAAAACAGCTGACAAGAGAGAGAGAATCCTAGAATGGTACCAACTAGTAGCCACTGTTGGGTTAATTAGAGGTAAAGTCCTCTATTTAAATAAAATTTTGCACTATAGAGGAAATAAAAAAAAAAGTGCTAAGAAAACAAAAACTTCCAAATAGTGACATCATATATTTATTAGCAAAAGTGTTTTTTTTTTTTTTAAGGTATAAACCGGGGCTGATATATATTTGTATATTATGCTTGTGTCCAAAAGAACTTCCAACTACACATCACTGAACTTTGGAAATCAAAAAATATGAGTAGATAATTAATCTATGCATAATAACATACAATTTTAAATTTTGAGCATTGCGATTCTCATTGGGATTTTCATCCGTACTATTTTTCTAAGAAAATGTGAAATACAAAAATTATAATATTAAACCATTATCCCTATAAAACACGTATAAATCTATACTTTAATGGAATAATTCAGGTAAATAAAACCTAATGCTCTTACTCTAGCCTTCAAGTTGGGATCTAAGGAAAAAATAAAATCTTTATCCGAATAATCAAAGACAGGAATATCTTTTGTGTCCATGCTTTCTTTAACAAAGAGTTCTTTGAATGAAAGACAATTATTGAAAAGTTTAAAGATGAAATCTTTGATAATGAAATCTTGAGATGAAATCTTATGAAACACACTAGTTTGTTTATTTACATTGCAAGCACTTGAGAGCTGCCAAATTGAATGATGTTAAATTATACAAAAATGATATTTCTTGAGTTTTGTTGTTTTTCAAGCCGGGAGATAAAGATTTTAGAGCCTGTTGTGCTAAAGTTATCTTTTTAATAATTGGCAATACAAAATAATTTTTAGAATATTTCGAGATTATGCATCAAAAAGTATAAGCGTTTTAAGTTCGTAAAGTGTTAAAATTGTTTACCTATTTACAGAAGTGTGGATAAATTTCAGAAGTTGAAAAAATGTAGTGCGTTACAGTCACATAAAAAAAAACCTTATTGCTCTTGAGTGTGCTGATGTGCTGATTGAATATTATTATTTTGGTAGTGATTTCGTTCGACAAACATTTATTAATTGTTAACTTTAAATATTAGTTCCAATTAAGTTTCAGAATTTGATTAATTTGTGCTGTAAATTTAAAATTATTCTGCATGAAATCTTTGTTGTTACATTTACTGGAAGAACTCTTTTTCTTTCGGCCGGTGCCAAGTTAAATTTAGTATGATTGGTGACTCTTTTTCATGTAAGGAAATGTGTGTCTGACATATTTTATCTGTTGTAGTGCTTTGAAAACTTATGTGAAATAGGCTGTTTTGTTTTAGATTATGAAGCCGAGTTCCAAAATTTACTTTAATTTACTTTATCTCATCTGAGAAATACCATTCTATTTGTTTAATAAGTCTGGTAAGTTGAATAACATTTCAACCTTACATTTTGTTTTTAGATATATCAATTTTCTGAATTCAGCTCTTATATTTATTGTAATAATTACTATATTTTTCTAAGAATTTAGACATTAACTCGTTATAAGTCATTTGAATTTCTTGTTAATCAATTATAATAGTACTGTAACAGCCCATTGTAGATCAGGGGTCATGACTGCACAGTTTCATGACAAATGATATTATGCACCAACCGCCTTTTCTTTCCAGACAAGCTATTAACCATTCATCTAAAGCTGACGTAAAACAATTAAATGTTAACTAAAGTACAATTTACATATACTATTATTATTACCATTCAAAATCAAATATTGCAATGAGTGCACCCTGCAAAAGTCTATACCTCAAGAAAGAAAAGTTTTTTACATTTTTAAATCAGTGAATCTTACCAATTATATTCTTATATACAGCAAAGATTAAGACTGTTTTAGTGTTTACATGATTGGTTTGTTACTTTTGCCATTCAAATAACAACTAGGGAAGAAAAAAAAATCTAAAAACAAAATTAGTGAAAAGGGCTTTATGTTGAAAGTTAAATGGTAAATTTTTGAATTTGAGTGTTTAATATGATAAAAAACTAACAATTTGTTAATATTAGATTTAATTATTATTTTACTTAAAGTAAATATTTGATATATTTACTAAAAACTGAAAAGTTTGTTGCAGTTATAAGAATAGTAGTTCTGCTTATGCTCTAATAGTGGTTTCCAACTTACATGTGGCTGGGGGTCGCAATTAAAAGTACCAGTCAAAGAGCGGGTCGCAACTTTTTCATTATTTTATTTAGGACTCTTTTTATGTATGAAGAAACATTAAATATTACTGTCAGATTTTTATCATAGTTTTTTTAATATCAAAAAGTAAAATAACAAGCATTACAAGTAATGCTTGTTATTTTGCTTTTAACAGTTTTTTTTTTTTTTTTTTTACTTATTAGGAATTATAGCAAAAAAAATAAAAATACACGAGCATCTGAAATTATTTTTTTTCTTTTCTGCTTATGCGATCTTCAATTCAGGGAATTTAAATAAAACATGATATTTATTCCCTGTTTTATGCATTTTAAAATTTACAAATGTTAATAATTTCGTCCAAAATGTGTAGTTTCAAAAAGTTAAATGGGAGAATTTCTCAGAGAAAATTTCTGATAAAACAAAAGCAACATACACGATTATTTTTGTATTTGAATAAATATTTTCATGGGTGCAAAACCTGAGAGATAAATTTTTTTGCATCGTTGGTTTGTTAAATTTTACAGAAACGAAGAAATTAGGTTTTCTTAAACAAATGAAAAGTATTTTAAATCCATTTAGATTTTTTACGAAAATTGTCCGAAAAAAAAAGACAACTAAAATCGGTTTTTTACTTCACGGGCCGTCAGTTGGAAACCCCTGATCTATAACATGTCAAATGTGCAAAAAATCATAGACGGAATGCTGAAAGAGAAGATAGAACATATAATTTTCCATTTTGGTTATGGCACAATAAGGACAAGACAGAATTAGGGCATGCTAATTTTGCCATTGTAGGCAAAATTATAAAATCAAATTAATATTTTAAAAAAAATCGAACTATCCTTTTTTCCTCTTTTATTAATAGCAAAGAAAGATAATCAAATTGCCATGTCGCCTTCTCTTGGCACAGGTGTTTGATCAACTGTAATCAAGAGTTTTGATTCCTCTGAATATAACTTCTTTCTTATTTTAAATATATTTGTTTTGCCTATCAATAAATAATAAAAATATAATGTTTTAAATTCGCATATCATTAGATGGATGAAGTGGAAAATTTACACCTCTATTACAGGGTTGGGTTTTTGCCGTCAAAAACTAGTTTTTTGACATGACAGTGGTAAAAACCGTGTTTTTACCGGTAAAAACCATGAAAAACCTACTGTTTTCTTTAATTTATGGCATATAGCGGACAATATATTATTTTTACATAATTGCCTTTATAAATGAATGTTGTAAATGATTGCTATTGATTTTGCAACTATATACATGTATTCTTATAGAAGGATATACATTCACATAGAAATATTGTAATGCATATACTTATTGAAAATAGTGATACTTACTTCTATCATTATAGCTTGATTTGCAAAGGATTAAAAATTTTGCACTTCTTAATTGTTAGAAATAAGCAAATAAACAAAAAAGCTTGGAACTATTAATAAATTCAAGAACTAAAAAGGATTTAAAATTTGGCATTTCTTAAATATTAGAAATAAGCTAAACAAAACTTTCAAAACTTGTAACTACGAACAAACTCTAAGTCAAGAATAACTTGACATTCTTCAGTAATGTAATATGCCAAACAAAATGATGCTTGGAAATGTTGAAAATTTTGTTTAGTATCCTAATATTTTACTTCAAATAGTATGTTTTGATATAATCGTGTTGGGAAAATGCAAGAATCTATTCTTAAATATCTTTTAACAACTTTTTTTTTCTAATTTTATTGCCTAAAAATGAATTAATTTTAGATTATAAACAGTTAAACTCAAATAAAAATACAGTTTTACCAAAACTATGGGTTTTTGACATGACGGTAAAAACCATGGTAAAAATCGTCAAGTGTCAAAAACTTGCCAACCCTGCCTATTATATCACAGAACTTTTTCTCTCTCTTATTTTCCAACTTGAAGATCTTTTCTTTTCCCTCTCTTTATATCTTGTTTAAATCTTTTAAACGTAGTTTGAAGTGCAAAATAATTTTATTTCACCTTGAATTTTGGAATTTCTTAAAATTTTACATAACCCAGTATAAATCAAAATGTGTAATGTTTGGACACATTTGGGCATGATAACCTGTCTTTTTACAGTTTAGTTTAATCATGATTTTTTCTATTATTTATTAATAATGTGAATAAAAAAATTATTTATTAGAGACTCACATGTAGCCCTTCATCTAACAACCTATAACTTATTGAAAACTGATAATAAGTCAAAAGTTATTGTTTCTTAAATTTGTGTTTTTTACCTTTAAAATGTCACCTTTTCCTGAAAATATGAATTTTAGAATTTTGGTCATCTGATTGACCTTACTGTAAATTGCCCTAGTTTCGGCCAGCAAAAAGCAAACACTGGTGCAGACCCTTTTATATATAATATGGTGTATTTGTTTGAATAATTATGATAGTATCAATAGTACAAGGCTTGTTGGGTTCACAAAAATTTGTCTCACATTGCCATGAAAGAATATCAGTTGTTTTCCAGACCAGAAATCAGTGTAAGAGTAAAATAAGTTGTATTGATTTTTGCTTTTGTGTTTTTTCACAAAACAGTACCTTTCATAACAATAGTAAATATTATACATTTTCATGTTGAATTTATCTATTTGAATTCCATTCATTAATTTAAATGTGAAATGAAATGCCAATGAAAATGTATGCAGACTAATAATCTCTTTTGAATAATTCTCTACTTTGGATAAAATGATATTTAAGTTTTTTCTTTAGAAAAATAAATAAGTTATATGTTCAGTTAATAACTTGAAGATCTTTGTTACATTATCTCGTAAGTTTGAAGTATTATTTGAAATAAATATTTTTTATTAATTTTTAAACATATGCAGGGGTCTGTTCAGAAGAAATTTGGGTCCATTAACGGACCCTTTGCAAAATATCCTTTCATAAAAACGGACCCTTCACAAAAGGATTTTTCTTTCAATCGGACCCTTCAAAAATTTTTTTATCTTCATTGTTGTTTTGTTAATCGAATAAACCCTTCCCAGGGGGGAAAACAAGAAAGATGGATGTAAACGAATTAAGTTTTGTCTTCGGCACACGCTTCTTCCATTATTCGTCCGAAATGAATACTCTGCGTTCAGCAGTAGGTATTAGGCTTAATACCAAATATTTGTATGTTGCATCTCTAATTTAGAAGCAGTAATTGCTGTTTATTTTTGAAAATTTATTTTTTATTAATCATAATTTTGCAGTGCTGAGCATAATCTTGTATCTATTTACAATTTAAAAACTCCTTGAAAAAGTTCTTTGCAATAACCGGAGTCTATTTGCAAAAATTCATAAAAGCAGGACCATGGTTGAAAGAATGTGACTTAGCGTTTATTTTATATTCACAAATTACGAGTAATTTTTTCACAATTTTACAAAAACAAGACCTTTTACAAAATGTCTGGACAGACCCCTGATATGAAAATCTCATTTTCTCCTAACTTACAAAAAGAAAAAGAAAAAAAGAATTCAAATGCCTGTAATTTGCATTGAAATGTCAGTAATGAAATGCCAAATTTTGCATTGAAATGCCAGTACTTTTCTCAATCCTTTAAAATTTAAATTTGTAATGTTATTTCTATGCATTAAGTTAATATTTTGGTCTTTAAATGGTTTTTTTTATTTAGAAAACAAGTTTAAAACTCTGTTTATATAATTCCCTCTCTCATAGTGATTCAGAATGTTTCAGATCACAGGCATTATTATTTTTGTAGAAGCAGTGCACATGTTCTGATAAAACTGCAAAACAAATTTTAATAAAAATTTAGAGAAGTTCTTCAGATTGTAAAAAGAAAGAAACTGAGCAAATATTATTAACATAACTATTCGCTCTCATTCCCTCATTTAAATTTCTGAAATTAATTTATTTTTGAAAAATGCTTTAATTTTCTCTAATAGTATGATGGTTAAAGGATATATATTGCTTTAAAGCAGGGTTGGCAGGTTTTTGACACATGACGGTTTTTACCGGTTTATACCATGGTTTTTACCGTCATGTCAAAAACCCATAGTTTTGGTAAAACTTTATTTTTATTTGAGTTTAACTGCTTGTAATTTAAAATTAATTCATTTAAGGCAGTAAAATTAGAAAAAAAGTTGTTAAAAGATATTTAAGAACAGATTCTTGCATTTTTCCAACATGATTATATTAAAGCATACTATTTGAAGTAAAATAATATTAGGATACTAAACAAAATTTTCAACATTTCCGGGCATCATTTTGTTTGGTATATTACATTACTGAAGAATGTCAAGTCATTCTTGACTTAGAGTTTGTTAGTAGCTACAAGTTTTGAAAGTTTTGTTTAGGCTTATTTCTAATATTTAAGAAATGCCAAATTTTAAATTCTTCTTTGTAGTTNAAAAGTTTAAAGATGAAATCTTTGATAATGAAATCTTGAGATGAAATCTTAGATTTAAAGATGAACCACACTAGTTTGTTTATTTACATTGCAAGCACTTGAGAGCTGCCAAATTGAATGATGTTAAATTATACAAAAAATGATATTTCCTGAGTTGTGTTGTTTATCAAGCCGGGAGATAAAGGTTTTAGAGCATGTTATGCCAAAGTTATCATTTTAATAATTGGCAATACAAAATAATTTTTAGAATAATTCAAGATTATGCATCAAAAAGTATAAACGTTTTGAGTTCGTAAACTGTTAAAATAGTTTACTCATCTACAGAAGTATGGATAAAATTCAAAAGTTGAAAAAATGTAGTGCGTTACAGTCTCATGAAAAAAATCCTTATTTCTATTGAGTGTGCTGATGTGCTGATATTTATTCGATGATTGAATATTATTATTTTAGTAGTGATTTCGTTCGACAAATATTTATAAATTGTTAAATTTAAATATTAGTTCCAATTAAGTTTCAGAATTTGATTAATTTGTGATGTAAATTAAAAATTATTCTGCATGAAATCTTTGTTGTTACATTTAATGGAAGAACTCTTTTTCTTTTTGCCGGGGCCAAGTTAAATTTAGTATGATTGGTGACTCTTTTTCATGTAAGGAAATGTGTGTCTGACATATTTTATCTGTTGTAGTGCTTTGAAAACTTATGTGAAATAGGCTGTTTTGTTTTAGATTATGCAGCCGAGTTCCAAAATTAACTTTAATTTACTTTATCTCATCTGAGAAATACCATTCTATTTGTTTAATAAGTCTGGTAAGTTGAATAAGATTTCAACCTTACATTTTGTTTTTAGATAGATCAATTTCTGAATTCAGTGCTTATATTTTTTGTATTAATATACTAATTTTTTCGAAGAATTTAGACTAACTCGTTATAAGTAATTTGAATTTCTTGTTAATCAATTGTTGTAGTGAAATATTCTTGTAACAGCTCATTGTAAGTCAGGGGTCATGACTGCACAGTTTCATGACACAATGCATTCTTTCCAGACAAGCTATTAACCATTCATCTAAAGGTGACATAACACAAATAAATGTTAACTAGAGTACAATTTACTTATATTATTATTACCATTCAAAATCAAATGTTTCAGTGAGTGCACCTTGCGGTAGTCTATGCCTAATGAAAGAAATTTTTTTTATATTTTTAAATCAGTGAATCTTACCAATTATATTCTTTCTTATATGCAGCAATGATTAAGATTGTTAACGTGATTGGAATGTTACTTATGCCATGCAAATCATAACTAGAAAAAATAAATAGTGAAAGTGGCTTTATGTTGAACGTTAAATGGCAATAAATTTTTGAATTTGAATGTTTGATATAATAAGACACTAAAATTTTGTTAATACTATATTACTTTACTTTAAATTATATAAATATTTGATTTATTTTACTAAGAACTAAAAAGTTTGTTGTAGTTATAAAAATAGGGGAGAATGCTGAAAGAAACGTTAAAGCATGTAATTTTCCTGTCTGGTTATGGCAAAAAAAGAGACAAATTTAGTTCTTGTTAATTTTACCATTTTTTTCCTGTATTAATAGCAGAGAAAGATACACAAATTGCAATGTCGCCTTCTCTTGGCGCAGGTGTTTGATGAACTGTGATCAAGAGTTTTGATTCCTCTGAATATAACTTCTTTCTTATTTTAAATATCTTGTTTTGAATTATTTGTTTTGTGTGAATTTGTGCAAATAGGGTCCATTATTGCAAAAACACTTTTTCAAGGAGTTTTTAAATCGTAAAAAAATACAAGATTATGCTCAACATTGTAAAATTATAATTAAAAAAATTTAATTTTAAGAAATAAACAGCAATTGCAGCTACTAAATTAGCGATGCAACATACAAATATTTGGTATTTAGCCTATACTGCTGAACACAAAATATTCATTTCGGAAGAATAAAGGAAGAAGCATCAGCCGAAGCCAAAATTTAGTTAGTTTGCATCTGTCTTTCTCCCCCCCCTTCCTGGGAAGGGTTTATTCGATTAGCAAAACAATAATGAAGATAAACAAATTTGTGAAGGGTCTAATTAAAAGATAAATTATTTTGTGAAGGACCCAAATTTCTTCTAAACAGACCTCTGATTACCCAGTACTTGACACATTTGGGCATGATAATCTGTCTTTTTGCTGTTTAGTTTAATCATGATTTTTTCCATTATTTATTAATAATGTGAATATTTCAAGAGAAAATTTTTTTCTGTTAGAGATTCGGTTTTAGCCTTTCATTTAACAACCTATAACTTATTGAAAACTAATAATAAGTCAAAGGTTATTGTTTCTTAAATTTGTGTTTTTTACCTTTAAAATGTCACCTTGTTTTCCTGAAAATATCAATTTTAGAATTTCGGTCATCTGATTGACCTTACTGTAAATTGGCCTAGTTTCGGCCAGCAAAAAGCCAATCCTGGTGCAGACCCTCTTATATATAATGTGGTGTATTTGTTTGAATAATTATGATAGTATCAGAAGTACAAGACTTGTTAGGTTCACGAAAATTTATCTCACATTGCCATAAAAAAAATTATCAGTTGTTCCCCAGACCAGCAATCAGTGTAAGAGGAAAATAAGCTGTATTGATTTTTGTTTTTGCATTTTTATCACAAAATAGCATAATTCATAATAATTGTAAATATTATACATTTTCCATGTTGAATTATCTATTTGAATTCTATTCATTAATTTAAATGAAATGCCAATGAAAATGTAGAGGTACAGACTAATAGTCTCTTTTGAATAATTCTATACTTTGGATAAAATGCTATTTAAGTTTTTTCTTCAGAAAAATAAATAAGCTATATGTTCAGTTAATAATTTGAAGATTTTTGTTACATTATCTCTAAGTTTGAAGCATTATTTGAAGTAAATATTTTTTATTATTTTTTAAACATATGAAAATCTTATTTTCTCCTAACTCTTACAAAAAAAAAACAAAAACATTATTTTGCATTGAAATGCCAGTAATTTTCACAATCCTTTAAAATTTAAATTTGTAATGTTATTTCTATGCGTTAAGTTAATATTTTGGTCTTTAAATGGTTTTTTATTTAGCAAACAAGTTTAAAACTCAGTTCATATAATTCCCTCTCTCATAGCAATTCAGAATGTTTCAGATCGCAGGCATTATTATTTGTGTAGAGGCAGTGCACATGTTCTGATAAAACTGGAAAACAAATTTTAATAAATTTAGAGATGTTCTTCTGAATGTTAAACGAAACTAACTAAGCAAATATTATTAACGTTAATTATTCATTCTCATTCCCCCATTTTAATTTAAGAAGTAAATTTATTTTCAAAAACTTTTTAATTTTCCCTAATAGGATAGTTAAAGGATATATATTTTTTAATTTAATTTAAAGGGTTCTAGTTTACACTTATGGGATAGTTATATTGTTATTTTATTTATGAACTTCGAAAGCAAACTGTATATTTTCTCATTCCCCCACTGTAAGAAAATCACTTTTAATGTTGGATTGATTCCTAGTCTATTGTTGGATTAACTAGTCTTTAAGACTAGTTAAAAAAAGTTTATTTTTGTTTTACTGTTATTTTAAAAAGCTGTTAAGGACTGACGTATATGCTTAAATCCATTCGGTTAAATAAATTTTTTAAATATGAAAACTAAAGTTATCTTTCCCCTCTATGTTATCATTTCCTCACTTTAATAAAAAACTTGATATAATTTTCGTATTTTTTAATATTAAGCGTGATTGCTATATTTTTCTTGTCTAATCTCTATATGGCTCCCTTGTTAATCTCTTTTCTATCAGCTATTATCACGGATTTCATAGATTAAATAAAATTTATTAATATGAAACCTGCATATAGTGATTATTTGTGCAAGAGGCAAAATAACTCGAGTTACCTCCTAATTTTGAAAAGAATATATTAGAGGAAAGTAGAATGTTAAGTCTGTTATCTCCAAAAGTTAATTTGTTTTGCAATAATAAAGTAGTTATTTTTTCCTTTCATGAAGTAGTAAATTTTTCAAATTCTTCAGTAGAGACTCATAGGAATTAGTATGTAAAAATTTGAAATTTAATATAATTTTTTGAGAAATTTAGTTTTAAATAATGATTTAGACAGGGAATGATTTTATTTTTCAAAATCAGAAGCAAAATTGATAGTGCTAAAAAATATTACTAGCAAAATCAAGCATTTTTTTTTAAAAGCAGTATCTCCATATATTTTGTAATGCAGAAAATTCAACACAATCATTGCTGTGTGATTTATTGTATTAAAATGATCCCTAAATGATAAATATTAAATATTTGTGTTTGTGTGAAAGTTTAAATACTCAAATGCACAATTCTTAATACTTTTTTAGTGTCATAGTTATCATAGTTAAAATATAGAGATTTTAAAAATGATGTGGAAATTGTTGTGCCAGAAGCACGATAATTTACCATAATAACTCCTGAGAAAATAAGGTTGCATTACAACTGCATAGTGTGGAATTGAGCGTGTCAGAAAGTGATTAGTCAAATTTGAAATTCACGTTTAATAATAATATATTAAAAATATTGTTATTTGAAAAACTGGGAAAAATATACTTGAGGGTGCCCCTTGGCGAAATTGGCGACTTATGTTTGGCGTTATTCCTGTTTGAGCGGGACATCGTGGTAACAGGAATGGCGGCCAAAACATAATGATATTTCAATAAAACATTGGAAAATTTCAACAAAACATAGGCAAAACTTGCAATGAACCCAATATGAGCAAAATTAATAAACCCAATAAAAAGGATTTTGAATCGAAGCAAAAATTAATGGAGTAGGAGCAGACAGAAAAGGAAAAAAACAACTCACTTCTTTATTAAGCTTGAATATTCTCAGATTTAGGTGCACAGAATTATCTAATAACAGTTAGATACTGTCTAAATTTATCATGAATAGAATCTGTGCACCTCCATCGACACATAAATTAGACGAAATATGAATCGAAAATGGCGTCTGTACTAGCGGTCACATTTTTTTCTTAAATCCTTTTTTATGACTGTCCACATACCTTCGATCTTGTAGACCAGATTCAAAAGTAATCTTACCAGCCGGTATCCAACGTAGAACTAAAGGACCTCTGAAATTACATATACCGTTGAACATTTTAAAATAACTTTAAAATCTAAACCAATCAGAATCACGATTGGGTTTCAACATCGCCCAACTTGGCGATCAACCGCGATCACAACTTGGCGAGAATCAAGGGGCACCCTCAAGTATAGTCTACCCGAAAAACTATGTGAAAAAAAACTGCTATGTGAAGATAACTGCTGAGAAAATGGGTAGATGATCAATGGAATAGTCATAACTAGAGCCCGGATTTTGGTGACCTAAAAAATATCAACTAATGCCCTTAAAAAGTGCAAAAAATGCCCTTAAAAATGCGAAAATTGCGCTCAAAATGCCTTATGACATGACTTAAATAAAGTAAAAATATTGAACTAAAACAATGTTTTACTCTTTAGAATTATTATGAGTCATTACAAAAAATATAAAGCAATGCAATACTAGTTCTACGTTCATTAAAGTTTAAAAATATGTTTATATCCTAAAATAACAAAAAAAAAAGGGAAAATGTATTGACTCTAAAACACTTTCATTTTGTATCGAAACTTTAATGAATATAACAACTTCCATCTCATAATATTACTAAAAGTCAGAATTACATTGGATTATTAAATGATTTTTGATATTTTGAAATGTAAACGAGCGTCTCTTGCCGGAAAGTAAATTTTTAGAAATGGAGAAG